TTTGATTCTGTCGCAATTTTGTTGTATAATGTCTTTCGCAAAATTGTGACTTGTCCAAAAGACTCGCTGTATTTCGCTTTGCGCATAAACAAATTATCATTTTTTTCATGCAGATTTCTTACAAATTCCCAACCCTGAAAGTTACAGTAAGTAAATGAGAATGAACAATTAAGTATAACCAATTAACTAAATAAACAAATATTTGTGATGTTTAAGAGTTGAGAGATGTATGAAATATTGTGTACAGCAGAGAATATAGTAAAACTGAAATAAACATAACTCAGATGAAACAACAATGTTTCTTGCTACATACAAACATGCATAATATTTAAAAAAAAAGATAGTGTTAGTAATCCTTCAAATGTAGGTAACCAGTGTTTCAGACATGAGTTTGTATTTGTTAATGGTAACGTGTAGAACGAAAGTCAGTATGTAAAATGTAACTGATTTTTCTATTGCTTTATGCATATATCAATATGTATGTGTGTTTGTACAGAAGACTTTAGCAATAGTTATATATGTGTAATAATGATATCTTACTGTCTTTAATAACAAAGAGTGGTTAGAGATGAGATAAATTTTTCAAGTTTCATTTGATGTGTAGGTTTCTTAAAACTTATTTTAGAACTAGCGTATAGCCCGACAAAAATGACGGGGCAAGTACGACAACTCCCACCACATACTCTAACCTCACATTTCATAGCTAACTGAAATAAATAAATTTTGCAAAATCAAGCATGAATAACAAAGGGGCAGAAAAGTGCAGTCAAGGCAATCAAACGTCAGTAAATTCCTTTGTGAGCCAATCAAAATTAAGATCATTCATAAAATAAATTTGTGGAATATTCATAGAATAATTATTGGTAAAAATCAATTAGATTAACAACTTCTAATATATAGAAAAGCCAGTGCATTTTGGTAACACTACATTACTTAGATTTTTTATATGCTTTAAACATGTACACATGTATTCTATGAATTTAATCCTATCCAGATTGAAGAGCACCTTTCAGGTGTTCAGTGCATATCTGTATATCAAATTTCAACATTCAAGAAAAATAATAATTATCCATTTGAACAGTTTGTAACTCAAATATTTTTATAATTGATATTTGTTCATTTTGTAACAATTATTTAGTGTAAATCAATAAGAAAATTGAAAAAAATTATACTATGCTTACCTCAGTGGAGTCTTGCCTGTAACCAGTGCACTTATAATAATTTTTCTGCTAACTCGGAAGCATAGGTATATATATATATATTTATTAAGAAACTATCACCCCTTGAGAACGTTTGATTCTCACATGATTTCCTTCTCTTTCACTGATTGTATTAATACAGTCTTGTTTCCACCCTTTTACAATCTCACATTATATGGTCTCAACAACTCCTAATGAAGCTCAGCTTTGAAAATATGTATACAGTTTCACTACTGTTGGGGCCCTGGCATGGCCAGGTGGTTATGGCACTCGACTCGCAATCTGAGGGTCGCAGGTTCGAATCCCCATCACACCAAAGCATTTCAGCCGTGGGGGCGTTATAATGTGACGGTCAATACCACTATTCGTTGATAAAAGAGAGTAGCCCAAGAGTTGGCGGTGGGTGGTGATGACTAGCTGCCTTCCCTCTAGTCTTACATTGCTAAATTATGGATGGCTTGTGCAGATAGCCCTCGTGTAGCTTTGCGCGAAATTCAAAACAAACCACTACTGTTGGATAGAGCAAAGTATATAAACTACTTATGTCAATGTAGAGTGAATAAATTGATGTGAGAAGTGTTTTATGGCTTTACAGAAAAGTGATTAGATGTAGTTTTTGCAAAACATTGTAGTCTAGTGACAATATAAAATTACTTATGAACAAACAGCAGTTCTTGGATGTATTTATAGTTTCTTTAGACATTTTTTTTTTCATTCTAGAAAATGTTTTTGTCTCAAATTATATTTAAAAGTTACATAATTTTGTTTTTATCACAATACCTCAGGTAATTCTAGATAGGCTTATGGTGTATGGATAAGGCTGTGATATATTCAGGAGACTTGAATTAATTAGAGAGCTGTGTTAAGAAAAACAAGAGATTTATCCAAGATATGGAATTATGAAGTAATACTACAATGTTTACTAACTAAATTATGCTAAATGAAATAAAGAAACAAAAAAATATGTTAACTAGAGGGGCACTCAGAGTGCATACCTCCTCCATGCAGCATCAGTCATATTTGACTTTCAAAAAGTATGAAAATGTGTCTGTCATTATCAATAGACATAGATAATTTTTGTCAGGACAATGAGGAATAATGTTCTACATAAGTCCACCAAGTTTCATTAAAATCTTTTATTTTTGACAGAGATATAGAGCACAAATTGTGTGAAAATTGGTCCCAATTGTATAAATTTTTGTGAACTTGACCTTTAAATTGGACCCTCAAAAAACAAATCATTTCTTAGTTGGGTCGTAGTCCAAATGTATACCAACTTTTGTCCAGATCTATTCAGCCATTTTTGAGAAATCTTGCCGACAAACACACATGAGTGAAAACGTAAACATACGCTTTTGTTGGTGGACGTAATAAAAATCAGTATAGTTGAAATTAACTGTACATATAAAATGGAACTTTCTGACCAACATAAAAATCTTCACAATCTAAAAAATGACAAGAAAACTAAATCAACTTACCTTAATATTTTAAAGCCAAAACTAGTTAATATTTAGTGTGATGTAATTTAAATGCAACTTGATTAATTATTTCTACTGTGAGAAGGAAAAGGTAGAGATATTACTGATACCCCTTTTGTTTGGAAAGGTCAAGAATAAAATAAAATATGCCTAATGCTTTGTATGCAAATTTAAGGTTGATAATTAAAATATTAAAAAAATTAAAATCAAACCTATTATAATTCAAAATAATGAAAATTACTATTTAGTTTATAATTTTGGTCATGCTATATTTTATATAAACAATTAAGAAATATAAAAAGAGTATATGAAATATTTTTTTGTGAGATGAAGTTACATTAGATTGAATTGTTACATCCAGATACAGTGGTTTGGCGGTCTCTTGTTTGATTCACTTGATATGACAAAACTACTAAGGTGATCTGTCACTGGTGGCTAGAAGGAAGGCAACTGGTTGTTAGCACTGAAGCACACTTTTTCTTTTTAAACTGTTGGCTAGAGGAAAGTCAACTTTTTGTCATTCTTTTTCTTGAACTACTGACTAGAAGGAGAGCAACATTCTGACATCACCTGCTACCTTGTTTTTGTTACTTGCTTATAATTACCATGGTTTGAGGAACACCATAGTAGTTGATCAAATGAATGCATTTGATTAATGGGGCTAGCATGAAACTGAATGGTAATGTGAATGATGGTACACAAGGTGTAAAGATTTGGATTCATATTTACACTAATTTACAATTATATATGCATTCAATCAAATATTGTAAGTTACTCTTCAATATATATATATTTCTATTAAATGTATTGTTGATTTTAAATAGTTAGTTGGTTTGAATTTTTCTTGAGTCTAGGGTGGTTTAACTAAGTACATGTAATCTTTACTAATGAGAATATTATGTTTTATACTGGATCTAACATAATTTCTCTGTTTATGTAAATCAGAATGTTTTGTAGTTGCTTTCCTAATAAGTTTCATACTTGCATCCTTTTAATTTTATAATTTTATGATAAATAAATTTGTTACATTTTCAGAAAGCAACTTGGGAAGATGAATGAACTTCAGAGTTTAGCTTAAAAGTATTAAAGCTAACTTATACATGAATTTGAAGTGAAATTATATTTTATCTTTCACTTAATATTTAAATATTGTTAATTTTTTCAATTAAAGTATTAACTAATGGTGAATAGTTTCTTTGGAGGTATAAGCTTTCTTGTACCAAATATATTTTTGCCTTTAATGAAATTTGAAATGTGTCATTAAAAGTATTCTGCTTTGACATTATGTGATGATGATCTGAATTAAGAGGGGTTTTAAACAAACCTGCAACTTCTTGTCAGGTAGTGTAAAAATTAGTCATAACAGTCTAATTTATGTTAAATGTTGTAAGTAAAACTAAGCAGTTCAGTCTGCATGCCATTAAATATCACATTATTTTTTACCAATATCTTATGTTTCATAGAAATTAAAATTAAGTGATGTATTACATTTTGAAATATTATATACAAAAGAGATGAATTTTCTCTCTCTCTCTTGTTAGTCCCCAAAATGTTTGGCACTTTGCTAACAAAAAAGTATCAGAAAATACTTTGGCATATAAAAAAGAACAAAGTAAATAGTTACAGTGTCATTTATTGTTAATTTTCATTGCAAAATGCACCATATAGAAGAAAATGGGACTAGGATAAGCTTTTCACACACATATGATGAATTAGTTTGAAAAAGTTTATAAAAATAAATTGCATATTTACTCTCATGCCATAAACAGTACTTCTTAAAGTAGTGGTAAATGCTCTTTAAGTTCATGCACAGTTGCTATAAAGCCATGTTTTGCAAATCACCAACCAATGTCTGCTTTGTGTTTGGAGCTGTATGTTGTGTATGTTCCAAAAAATTTATTCGTGCACTGACAGAACAGTTTGCCATTTTGGGTAAGTCAGTATTTTTGTTAATTTCCTTGTTTACTTCCTTCAGTAGAAATAGTCCCAAGAACTGCATCAGTCCTGTATCATCATCATTGTTCGGAGCAGTCTTCTTTAGCTTTAAAAATTTCAAAAATACTAATGTTAAATTAGTCAGCTGTACTGTATAATAAGGTAGTAAACACTCTCCTTTATGCACTTTTCCATTTTGCTGTAGATAATACAATATATTTTTTATGTCAAAGACAATCTGCCAGAAAAATCAAAACCTTAATATGACAGGACAAATAATAGGTATTTTATTCACTATTTGAATTTTCAGTAAAAAGTGATTTATGGTATGACAATTCTTTTTATTATTCTAATATGCCTCACAAACCAATTTTTTTTACCATATCAGTGACTGGAGAAATGTGAGGGTCAAGATCCAGCAACATCCAGACTTTAGTCAGTATTTTCTTGAGAGTCCTGATGAACACTCCTGGCAGGAAAGTGACTTAGTAGATAGTACAGAAACCCGAATTCCTCAGGATATTTTAGACACTTCTGAGGCAGAAACTTGCTTTCAAGAACACAAGGCATCACTAGAGGCTGATGAGAAGAGGAAAGAGTAAGCCTTTATTTTGTTAACATATTTTAATATTTTATTTAAGGATCTTAATTGTTTTTGAGTGTAATTTTTTGAACTTAATATTAGAATATGAAATTGAACGATTTTAGGCTGTAATGCTTCATGTATTCATCATATGTAAAATATTAATGACCATCATGACATTATTTTAAAAAGAAAAAGAAAAATTACTGGTTGTAATAGATTTCCATAGTTTTAGGTTGGTTTTTAAAATCCATATATGTTTGAGAGCTATTGAATTGTAGCTCCTTTTATAAAAGAGAATTCTTTGTTACTTAGAGGGGAATACTTTTTTTTTCTGTCTCTTTTGCTTTAGAATGCGGAAGCAGTTTAAGCAGTTACTAGAAGAAACTGGGTACGTAACTCCTGGCAAAACACTTTCTGAAGTTCGGGTTTTGTTTATGGGAAGAGAGTGTTTTGAAGCTCTCTCAGAGTCTAATTTACAAGAGATTTATGATGAACACCAAAAGGAGATTACAGAACGAGCAAAGCAAAATTTCCAAGAACTTTTATTAGAAAATGCAGAAATTTTTTACCATTTTACAAGTATAGGACCAGGTAGTGTAATTACCCAAGAAGACATCAGCAAGATTACAGAAACTTTAAGGGAAGACTCTAGGTAAGATTAATATCTAGCTTAGTGTGTATAATACTTAATGATTTAAGTAACTTTCATGGAAATTCTAAGTTTATAAACTTAAAGAAAGTTTGCTTATGTTTATTTTCACCGTACAAGAATGCTGTTGGAACTTAGTAATATAGGGTATTTGAAAGTCACCTCACATTTAAACCTATTTTGTGTGGATAATATATTATTTGTAGATCAGTACACAAAGTTCATTTGCCATTCTGTTCACGTATACTTCTATATGAATCTAAAACATAAAAATTACGATAATTAGGATACTTCTCATGGGCAACTAACTTTGAGACCATCCTGTATATTAACCCCGCCACTGTCAAATATGATTATGATATGTATATTGTATAGCATAATCACTATTTTACTAGATAAAGACTAATTGATAAAGGTTTAAAATATGTTAATTTAATGAATGTGTATATGTGTTAGTTTTATTTTAAGATTTGATTGTCACAGAAAAAAAATAAGTACTCATTGTGACTATTGCTTGTGTATCTTGTTCTTGTTGGGTTTTGTTTCTGTCCTTGAAACAAAATTAGAAAAAAATGTAATGAAAAATTTTATCTCAAATTTAAAATATTTTCAGTTACTTATGAATTTAAAACTTTAAAAATAGAGTATTTATATTTGTGTTAATGTGCAAACAGTATCACTTTTCTGTACTTAAAATCAATTGAGCAAAAATGTATTGAATAAAAAAAATTGTTTTAACTAGCTTATTTTAGGAGGTCTATCTATAAATTTGTTTTGCAAATTAATACCATTAATCAGTTTCTTGATATCTTGTGTGCTTTTATACCAATACTCCTGTTAGACTAAAGCATATGAGAACACAAAAGGCAACAAAATCTCAGTGCTTTCTTTCCCTCGAGTTCTTTCAGTAACCTTATAAGAGAATCAAATGTAATTATGATAAGGACTTTTTTCCAATTCTTTAAACTTATGTAAACAAAATTATTAAGCTATAGCTGTTGAGTGTTTTAGTTGATTTTTAATCTAAGAGATAATGGTTCAGTAACTTAGAAATTAGTCTTATCAAAAAATCTCGCATGTTATAATTACTGAACTACTGTAAGTATCTGCAGGAGGAAGTTGAATATGATTAAACATCTAAATTCTCTTTAAATATTCTCAACAAGAGTCATTCAAATTATAAAAGGACATACAAGTGCAGCCATTTAGAAATATTTTAAATTAATCTTGATCTGGTTGTAATGTGTTTAGGGGTGTGTTTTGAAATAATGCTTTTTCTTACAATTTTTAAACACTAGATGCTGCTTGTTTCAGAAAATATATAGTCAGTAAAGAATATGGAAGGGGTTCTTATATTTTCACATTTTACCTAATATAGTAGAAGGTGTATTCTGATAAGAATATTGAGAGATATTTAATTCATACTTTTTCTTATTATTATGATGTGATTTCATGAATAATTTGTAAAAAAAACAGTATTCCTTTTAAAATAGATGAATTGATTTTGTATATTAACTCCAGGGGGTGACTATAATTGTTTATGCATTTTTACCCTCTCGCAATGTGCAAGTCAGTGTGTGCATGTCACAATCTTTTTTTTTGCATTCAAAATTTAATTAAACTACTTTATTATCATTTTATATGAATATTATATAAATTTTAAGTTATTAATTTTATAAGGAATTATTTTAAAGAATCCCCAATCTCCCCTATTATGAGAATTGTGACATTTGTACTCTAGGTTTTCCCTCTTATCTAATTTATTTACCTCTCCTCTGAGAAGTACAGAATTGAATGTAAATTACTCATTATGATATAATGATTACTAAGGCAAAGTATAATTTTTGTAGCCTTCAATCTTATTTCTTTATGGTATGGTAACATAAACTAGAAAATGAAACCTACTTGTCACACCCACCTGTATCATCATTATATAAAACAAGTAGTTTTAACTTTCTTCGACAGTCAACAGCAAAAAATCAATGACATGGGTATGTAACATATTTTTTGTTTTCATGTATGTTCTTTATTTATTATTATAAAAGTAAGTAAAATGTAAAAATTAGAAACTTATTAGGATTGATTAGGTTAGATCAGGTAAGATGATAAAAATAGTAATAACAATAATTACTCACAAAATATGCTCATTAGAAGCTTGTGTATTATGTAATTCAATAGAATAACTTCAGCTACACATTTGCTGAGTAATTTAAAACTTGTGTGGTAGGATTATTAGTTAGACATGGTTCAAAGGGCAATAAAACAATAAATTTAAGTATAAAGAGATGTATAGTGCTATGATGTTTAAGCTATTTAGGATAAACAATTGTAATTTCCTGTTACAATTTGCAGTCATTCTAGAAAGAAAAAAAGGGTAAATTAGATTTATTTTGTATTTTTTATGGTAGTTACAAGGTTAGTCAAATTGATCAAATGCATATAGAGTTAGGGTAGAGAAAATAACAGATAAAATATAAAGTTCTACTGAAAAAAAAATTGATATTTATTTAGTAGGTATTAGAGATTATGACAATTTTTCAGATCAAGAACGATATTTTTTCATCTTAACACTAAAATCACTTTGCACTTGAAGCAGTCAACACTCTGACTACATGTATTCATGGACAAATGTTTACTGAAAGCTTGCCAAATTTCATGAAGATACAAAAGACCCATTAATAGTTATATTATAGAAACTCTGATGGCCACCTTAGGGTTACAAACTCAGTTGAATCAGGTGAGCCCACAGTAAGAAGGTTAAATAGATGGTGAACTTATTTCTTTTTCATAGTGGTGGAAAGCTCAAAAAATTAATGTTCTGAAGGATATGGTTAAAAAAAAAAGTATTAGAACCATTAGTTGCAGTAGGAGATTTCAAGTCTTGTAAAAAAAAAACAGACATGTTAAAAAAAAAACGTCCAAGGAGGATTATGGCATGAACAAAATTTAAACGTCAAATTAATTTTAAACGTTGTCAGAAATGCATGTTATGTAAGGAGTGAGAATCAGCAATAGAACTGTTGAAAGGGAGTTTCAGAAAATGAGGTCTACATGAAAATGTTGCAGCCTGAAATCCTAATACATTATATTAAAATGATTTTGAATATGCAAATCAGCAAGTAACATGACAGTTGTAGCCAATATAAATCACAGTTGAACAGAATGTATCAGAATTACATTTTGACATTGCTTAGCTTTATTTAGAGGTCGTGTGAGGCCACAAAAATTGATAGCTTTTGAGAAAAGTGTAACAGCTTATTCCAATATTAAATATTCATACACACTAATCTTAAAGATGTGTTGAGATTGAAGATTTAGAACTTCCAAAACAGGGATATCCTTTGTACTTAATAATATTGGAAAACAAGTTAATATGGATCAATGTAGAACACCAGGACTCATCAGAAAGAGACTTGCAACAAGTCATACTCTACCTATGGTAAGCAAAGGATGATGTTTTGCAAAAGGTGAGAATCTGTGAACACTAAAGTCATCTGCAAAAGCTGTCCACGTGTCCCTGGTAAAGTTGTGGAACATAATCAAAAAGAATCCTCATCTGGAAGTGAAGCAAGAGGGTATGAGCTCATTTCAAATGTTGCACAACTTAAATAGCTAGAGAATGAAATGGGGTGTTAATTCTCTATATATGGGCTTGTTCACTTTGACTGATCTTTCAACATTTAATGTAGTAAGCATATTTTCACAAAATTTGGCAGGTTTTTCTTAAATATTGCAAGTGTTTTGTGTACAAAGTAAATTTTTTTTAATAAAGTATTTTTACTAAAGATCTGTATGAATATATGAAGTCAGTGTTGACTGCTATGTGTGCAATATGATTTTCTTAAGATTAAAAATACTTCTTTTCTTCTTAGTTTTTCAAATTTCACTTGCATAACCTCTTGAACCTCCTAAATGAATGACAAGTTTGTTTCAGTAAAACAGTGTATTACATATTATATTCTCTATATGACCAGTTTTGTAACCACCACAAAAAATACAAATAAATTTAAATTACCTCTTTTTCTTTTTCGAATGACAGCAGATTGTAACAGAAAATTACAATTGTTTATCTTAAACAGCTTAACACTCAGAACAGTTTATATCTGTTTTTATTTAATTTTATTGTTATATTGCTCTTTGAAATGTGTCTAACTAATAATCCCATGATGAAAGCTGTAAATCACACAGCAAACATGTAGCTTAAATTACAGTATTGAATGACTAATGCATGAGCTACTCACAGGCATATCTGGTGGAGAATTTGATTTTCACTATCTAACCTAATACGTTCCTAATTATATTTAATTAATTTTATAACAATAAACAAAAAATTTACATAAAAAACAATATATTTAGTACTTATGTTTGGTCTCTTATGTTCTTTGCTGTTAGTTCTCCTTTGAAACTTAGCCCAAATTCCTTGTTATGAAATTACTAGTAATTAAAATAATTTTTACTTGTTTGAAATATGCTCTTAAGAACACAAAATAATAATACACACGAAGTCTAAAAAGTTTTATAACTATTATAATGTAACTAGCTTTCTAACTAAGGCATAAGTGTCTTAAAATAATTTCTTTAGCTGGACAATCTGAACTCTGTGATAGAAACTTTGAATCTGAATGCAAAATAACTAAACGTTTGTACAGAGGAAAAGGTTACATTATATGTCATTCATTAAATTAAAACTTTTTCTTTCTGTTGGTTATAAATGATGGAATAGCAAATATCAAAGAGATTTATTGGCGATTTGTGAAAGAGACAATGTGATAGGAGGACGTGGAAGTGAGTTTGACTTTCTGGTTTATATATCTATAAACAAAGAAGATTGAAGGTTATAAAAATAATACTGTACCTCAGCAGTATTTATGCTGTAATGAATAATTTACATTAAACTCAAGACATCATAGAGGGAGGATGAAAAAATAAAGTGAACAATGCTACATTACACAGACAATCAGAGATTGAGAATTTATTTAAATATTTCATTTTGAAATTAATAAATTAAAACTTGTATTAAAATTTGATTTATTGATTACCTTTGATGCCAGGTTTACTTGTGTACATTGATAAAGAAGTAGTTGAATTAAATTTTGAATAAAACTAAAAAGTTTTGACATATGCACTTTCACCTACCCATAGTGAGAGAGTTAATTCCATCCTACAAGAAGGCATAATAGTCAAGTTGCTTGAAGCAGCACCAGTGGATTTTTTTGAGATTGGACTGTTGGAATGGGCACTGTGAAATTATCATCATTGTACATTATATGAATTATGGAAAGTGAGTGGAAAGGTCTGGTGTGCTTTGGACATGAAAGCCTTTTGTAAGGGAAACTATGTTTCAGAGCTATTGTCAAGTTCTTAAGTTGTCAGATAGAACATGACTGTATGTGGCAACGTGAACTTAAACAATGTACTGTGACTCAAAAAATGTTTTATTATAATGTATTCAACTTTCTGCATTTCACTTAGCAACATTATCAAGTGTTTAAATGGAATCACAAAATTAGAGGAATGAATAGAACAGTTAATTATGAACTGACAAACAACCCAAGCTTTTGGGTAACTAAGTTATATTTTTGGGTTTTATGGAATTGTGACAATGAGAATTTTATACTGCTGGATAAAAGTATTTGGAAGAGAAACAAAAAGAGGCGATGACGTAAAAGTTAAGGAATAACCAGCCTAAAACCTTGTTACTAATCCTGTTGAAAATATGTAACATCAGTTGAAAAGTAATATTGTCAAAGAGTAGCCAATTAACCTTTAACAACTTTGGAATGTTATAAAGCAAAAATACAAGGTATTTTTGAGAGTGTGATACCTTGCATTGTCAATGGAGCCATATGTTAAGATTGGAAAACATAATCTACTAAATATTAATAATTAAACTTGTTCCAAAACTCACTTTTTTTATGCCCAAAATTGTAACATTAGGTATAGATATAACATGCAAACCAAAACTATAACAAAATGCTTTTTCAACTTTTCATGATAGTTTTGTTGTTGGCATAATTTTTATTTCCTTTATTCTATAAACCTTATACCCTTATCCATGGTGATAAAAATTATCTGAATGGCCTAAATGTAAATGAAAAAGTATATTGCCACAGATCTTATCTAAGATGCCATTGAATCAACTACAAACAAAATTGCTTGATTTTAAATAGTATTTGGAAATAAAGCTTAAAACCCATTTCTCTTTTTAAGAATGGATTCTTTATATGAATTGGAGTTAAAGGCTTTTTATGATAGTTTTTTCTAGTTAATGTTTCCAAAACTATATTAATTATATAGCCCATTTAACATTTTCATGTACACTAGCTGTATGTAGTCAATGTTAATGGAATGAATTATATGTAAAAATATATATATTTTCAATAGAATTTCTTAGAAAATGTTTGCAACATGTTTTATTACCACAAATTAAATTTTCCAATAAAGTATGACTTTTAAAAGAAATTTAGTAAAATCTTTGCACCATGTTACGGCTTTAAAAAAAAATTCATGAAGTTTTAGGTTTACATTTTTGTTTTTTGTTATAGTACTGAACAAATATCACATTATATGTGATATAACTTATTAATATAACATGCTGTTTGTATATTTCTTTTTTCCAATAGGTATAAAGCTTTAGATAGGCTGGACCAAGAAAGGATGCTAATGCTTCTTCGACATCTAGGCTTTGTACATGGACCCATAAAAGAACATTGTCCAGCTTTTCCAAACTGTATGGATAATCTTATTGAAAAAGTCATAGCTCAAAAAGCACATAGGTAAGTCCTACAAACGTATTTAATTGTAAACTGTTTCTGTGATTAACTCTTGCTATGGGCTTGGCCAAATCAGCCAAGTTTGTGACCCCAAATTGGCTTTTATAGTTTCCATATTATAACTTCTAATATGCTTTATGTATCTTGCAAACTTTCAGTAACCATTAAAAATCACTTGTAGATAAAAATTCCAAATTTTTAGTTAAGTAATTTTATTAAACATTTGACTGAATATGGAGTCAGGGTGTTGATTGCTCTGAGTGCAAAAGTGATTTTCTTGTTAAGAGAAAAATTACTTTTCTTCATCTGAAAATTTTCAAATTTTGTTTGCATAATTTTTAAAACCTTGTAAATAAATATCAAACTTTCTTTCTTTATATTTTATTTGCTAATTTTTTTACCCTATGTCTATATTGGGTCTGTCAATTTGACCCACCTCGTAACCATTATAAAACTTTACTGGATGAAAAAATGTGAAATGAAGTGAGTAGTACTGTTCTATTTCCTCATAAGTGCTTCATCTTTAGTTGTTTTTATTAAACATAACACAATAAATATAGAGAACAACAATTATTTCTAGTAATTACAATGTTATGAAATTGATTTGTACTTGTGCATTGTACTTGCTAAGCCTTGCTTTAAGCTTCGTTTATTCTCTCAGTTGGAGAGGGAAGACAAATTAATTTTTGTAGATTTCAAAGATACATTTTAGAAAACCAAAAAATTATCAAATTACTATACTGATACACATCTGGCTTTCTAACTAATCTATAATTGGGTTAAAAAAAATCTCATTTCTGTTCAGAGCAATGACTTACTCAATAGACTGCAACATCTCTTGTCAATTACAAGTTTCCCCTTCAAGCCAGTTACAATCTACTATCAGTTTTGTGTAGTTTAGAATATGGTTTTTCTATTGATTATGAACATGTATGTAAGAAAAGTAGGTGTGAGTAGATAAGAGGTTTCAAAATAATGGAAAAATGAATGGTGCTACCCTTATAGGTTTGCAAAATATATTGATATCTTGGCAAATCAACAAGGTTCGGAGATTCTTATTTTATATTCTAACTTGAAGTTTGAATTTGTAATTTGTTAACCACTATAGACGTTGTATGGTAGGTGTAATAAAATAAGAAGAAAAAGAATATATAAGTTTCCTTTTACTTTTTTTTAAATTAAGAAATTAAAACATATTATAAAATTTGAATTATAAACTACATTGAGATGCTAATTTTACTGACATAAAATGATAATCAAGTTATTTAATTAAATTTTAAAAATAACTAATATTTTGTGACATGCATCCTTTGACCTGTCCATTGAGAGAGGGTTAATCACTAAACAATCAACTTATCAAATATTCATCAATTTTCATACCTTTTCACACTCGTGCTCCAATGTTGTCTGCTAGCAAATTGAACTGCTAACATGAAAATGAAGGATTACAACATACAAAAAATGAAACAAAAAGATAAAAAAAATGAACTAGAATTATGTGAAGAACATGGAAATTAAGATGATTACATGTGCCCAATTTGTACATACACACACAGATTTGACCGTGCTATCCCCTATTTTCTAGTACTTAATGTGGGTGTGCAATGCTGTTTGAATAGGGATTGCAAAACCAGCATGGCACTAGCAAATGAAACAATCTTGTTAATCATAATTAGAGTATACTTCTTTTTTTTTAAATCTTGCAACAAAAATGAATGCAATGCATGCATCATGTATCTATTGATACTTTAGAAATGTACATGTTTTTCTAGTGCTTTCATAATTTTGTTAGCAAAACTACAGCACCAACCAGCAGTTTGCTAATTTGTTAGCATTATTTTCAAACCATGGAAACTCATTTATTGACGAACAAGAAGGGTTTTTAGTATTTTGAAGAATTGTGAAATGCTTAAATGCTTCATAACAGATTTGAAGTGACTAAAAATCTATTTTTATTTGTAATTTTTGAAAACTACGAGTTATTGAATATTTCTTGCTATATACAGTTTTCTGTATGCAAATCATATCAGCCCCACTACCTGTGCCAGTTGACAAAATTGTTTTGTTGTATGATCACAATCAAACATTAATTAAAAAATATTTCTAAACATATATTAGCTTTTGCTCTTGCAAAATATTGTATTTTATATATGACACAATGCTTTCAGAGTTAAATTAATAAAGTATGAAAAAAATTCAAAACAATTGGTATTTGGAATTTTTTTTACTTGTGTGGAGTGTGAATTACATATTTAGCTTTTGCAACACTAAGAGGGAATGACATGTTTTTAGACTTTGTACATTTCATGAGGCTGAAATATTCTTTTTTTTTTACAAACTCTGAGTATACTGTACATCCTTTTTCATGAAATGGGCCATATATCAGACTTACGTGATATTCACCTGAATTAAATATTGTTTTAAAGCTCAGTTGGCAAGTTATGTAACGGTATAAGTTATGAAGCAATTTAACTAGCAGCCGGTGCTTTGTCTTATGCAATGGTTCGTGGTTTTGGTACAGTGCAATAGGTCTGTCATGCATTGTCCTTTAAAAAAATATTTCAGATTAGTCACAGGCTCAGATTTTTTTTTTATGCTAGCCTTTTACTATTGCCTGATATTTTGTTAGTGTTATAGTACGTATATTTGAACTGTATGTAATTTTGCTGATATTTGGCTTGGACCAAATATTAGAATTGACAGTAGTATTGCTCCTCAGTAAGATATGTTTGGACAATTTGAAAGCAACTTCAAGTTTTTTACAAGCAGACATATCAATCTTGTGGTAGTTTTGATTGTTTTTGCAGCTAAATTACTTTTCAGGTGAGCAAAATAAAATGTAAACAAATAATTTTATGAACATCAAATAGGTAGAGACTGTTTGGATATGTTTTTAAAATGAAACTATCTCAGCAATAATAAAAAAAAAAATGGTCTTAATTATTTATATGTATTAAATATCAACATTTTTTGTGGTGTATGTCAGGAATTTATGCATAGATACAAGAATAATTTATGATGCTATTTCAAAGAAAAAACCCAACTTTTATTGTATCACAATGAAACTTGGTTATATAAACTTAAGGAAGTTTAGGAAGTAAGTTTTATATTATTAACATGTTATTAAACTTTGAAATTAATACAGGTGACAAATATTAGACCAAAGATTTACATTTTTTAATGCGTTAGCATATATGTATAGAAAATATGTGCTAAATGTAATGCCAATAGATGCAGTAATTTTAAGAGAAATATTTTTTGTGATACATTATAAGTTGAGTCAGTTTGATTACACTAGGAAGTTGAGCTGATAGTTGAATGCTTCATAGTCTGATTGAATGGAAACAGCTAGAGATCTCTATTTTGTATAACTGTGAATTTGAGCAGTGTTTCTCAAACTATAGTAACCCAAGGACCTCTTTTAATTTACATTTTTTTAAAAACCCCAAACCTATCAGTTTTTTGTTTTGAAAAAACATATTCAGTGTACATGAAAAGCTGTATTCCAAAATTAAATCTTTTAATTCATATAAATTAAATTTTATGAAAAATAAGTCATGACTTGTGGAGCCCGGTTTGAGAAATGCTGAGTTAGAGTAATTTTTGGCGTAGATAATATGGTCACATAAAGTTTTTGATGTACAAATTCTAATGTTCAGTTTAATCACTACAGGTGAAATGTATGTGTGTGTAATATTTTAATTTTTATATATTGTAAGATTAATTTGAATGTTTTGTGTAAATCGTTTATTTTCTAAGTAACAAAAATTAATGGTGGAATTGTACATTTTTGTACAAGAGCTATGCACACATCCTAACATGTGTACAGTTAACCTTATTTTGTAAGTTATTTTCAATAAATTATAAAAGGCTTAAATTTAGATATCAAGCTGTATTTGGTACAAAATCCATGTAAATTTTTTTTTAATATTTAATGTTCCAGATATAAAGAAGTGCCACATCATGTATTTCATTGTGAATGTGCATTGTGTTACTTGTATGTTTTAGTACAAGACACAGGACAAGATAAAAGCAGAAAATCTGGCAAAAGTTTTTCTAATAAGAGAGACAAGATATGCAGACTTATTCTTTCTGTGCCAACAAATAAATGTAGTTTCTGTTGTCTTATGAGAGATGGTATTCTTACTATAAATAGTGGTGGTTTCAGTACTTAAAGTGAAAAGTTCAAACAACTTTAGATAAATTGGAGTATTTCAAACAACCATAATTCTGAAGTGATATTACTCCTCAACTCATATTTATGGAATGATGTTAAAACTAAGTATTATATATGAGCTCTTAAAAGTTACAGCTGTTGTTTTTTTGTTTTTGTTTTTCAATGTAAAACTATAATTTGAAACATTTAAATAGTTCAGTCTGCAAAAGTTTCTTATGCTTTGATAATATGTCACTGAATGAGTACCATTATTTACAGGCCTTCATCTTGGAGTCGAAATAGCCAGTGGCTTCTCGAGTCAGAAAACAATCAGCTTAACCTAGTCTTATTAGGCTCTGGTGGTATAGCAGATGAACTAGCTAACACCATTAGGGTGAGGAAGATGTTTCACATATTCTGATCTTCATTATGCTTCTAATCATGTAATAAATGTCTGTGATATAGTCTGTCCCAACTGTTTTATACCTATAGAAGCATACATTCATTTTATTGCTACTATAAATGATGTCTTTAGTATGTGTTAATTACAGCTAGTGTATAGTTTTCTAGCAATTTTTATATTTGAAGAATAGCCTTATTTCAATTTACATGAACTTTTGCTATATAGATTTTCAAACCTGTTTTATTTATGGACTCTGTTCAATAATACAACTTTTTTCTAAAACAAGTTGTTAATAAACTTTGATTATGTTTTACTAGTTTTTGTTCTCCATAGGCCTACTGTACAGATGACATTTTTGAAATGGAAAAAATTCAGTATACGTTAGATTTTAGAATTATTGACGGTGATGTTGGTTTGCCACACAACTCCTTTCGAACATCAGCTTTTCTTCCACATGGTGAGTTATGCTGCTGTGACACTTATTGTAAATGTCAAGCATGATAAAGAGCATCTGCCCAAAATATTGTTCTCAAGTAATTTTTTTTTATCTGTGGATATGTTAAAATTTAAAATCACTTTCATTGTTTAGTTAATGCTTTTTGAACAGGACACACAAGTTGCCATTTGTCTATTAGAATTATAGCCAGTATTACTTGTGCAAAATTACTATTACAATTTTAAGCTTTTAACTAGCTGTAAATGAAAAAAATATTGTATTATTGCAAAAAATAACAATTCCAAAAAATACATACCTCTGCTGACACTATTAGCTATTTCTCGATCTTCATCTTTACCATCTGACGTTGTGTTCACTGGCTTCAGTCTTTATATACCCCACTCGACTGCTGACCATGACACACCCTCTATGCAGGTACTGTATATAAGCATTGTATGCAGACAATAAAATCACTTTTTCTCAACAGTGCAAGCATTCAGACTAACGTTTTATGATTTACATTTTCTTAGTTTTCACTTTCTAATAATCGGGAATTCTTTGTTTTGTTATCCAGAGAAATGTTTCATTGAATTTGTTTTTCCTACAAATATTTTACAAAAAAAAAATTGAATATGAATTCCCATGTAACGGTTTCAAGCACGGAGGCTACTCGGCTTTCGTCTATTCCTTCTTTGTTATCTATTGGTGGTCAGCAGTCTGGAGGGAGCCACTCTCTGTGGAAGCTGTCTGTGATCTGATTTGGGGCGAGATGAAGTCTTTCATGGAGTATCTCTCCATGAGGTGCTGATTTGAATTTTCATTCTGAAACAGAATATTCTGGGGGGAATTTAGAATCCCTGTTTCCTGTTCTTTCTTTCGCTAGAGCTTCCTCTCCTAAGGACTCATTTGATCAGCTACCTTCTAACTCATTGGGACTTAATGGTTGTTTTACATGCTTTATCACATCATCCCTTCAATCCCATGGCCTCCTGTTCTTTATATCACCTTTCCCTCATAGTCTGTTTTTTATTACTGTTAGCTTCCGGATGCCGTCATTCTGATTTATTTGCTATTCATGTTCAGTGGACTCTCTATCATTCTACCTATGTTTAGCTCTATCCCAACCAATCATTTATTCCAAAAATTCTCGTTACCAGAGAAGGAAACAAATATTTTTCTCTTATTCATTTACCTGGCATTTCTTATCTCCACAGTAGATCAGACCCTGATCATTTGTTATGTCCCATCAGGGCACTTAAATGCTATGTGGCTCGTACAGAACCATTTTGAGGCCATAGGGACAGCCTTTTTATTCATTGGGATGCTGCAATGTTCAGAGATTTATCACCTGTTACTTTAACCAGGTGGCTTCAGAAGTTTATCCAGAAGTGCGCTTGGACCCTCTTATGAACACTGTCAGGTCTTATGTTGTTCATGCAGGGGGTCCACTATCTCCTTGTAAATCCGAACGTGACACGGTCCCATCTTTGGTCCTTGGTGGGGCAGTGTTCCTCATCCTCTCCATAATTCCATATGTAAGCAGAATTCACCTTGCCCACTTGGGTGAGTAAAGACAACTGTTTGTAACTCCAGACTGGATGAATTCTGGACCTTGGGTGGAGTATGGAATATATGATCCCATCAATCCAAGCCTGGGATATTGCCTTTTGGAATTTTTCAGGCTGATCAGAAGGATTGTCCACTTTGGTGTTGCTTTCTTTCTTTCATAAATCCGATGATTCGAAAAGTATAATTCTGTGGTTACTGGTAGGGATCCTATCACAAAGATATATATATCTGCTGTCCAACTGCACTGGGATATGGGAACCATGACCCCTTAAATCCAACCTGAGTTGTGGAACCTCGGCTGTTTGGTCGGGGCTTTACCATCATACTTTGTATTATATTCCACCCTTTTCAATTTTCTGTAGTTCTGGGTGAAGAGTATACCTGTTCTAAATGTAGTGCGGTGTTCCCCACTTTGATACCACTTCTTGTGGTATCAAATGGGGAATTGTTCTCTGCAGATGCTTTCTGTCCTCACCACCTTCTGAATGTGGGATTCTAGCTATTAGTGTCAGTGGAGGTAAGTATGTTTTGGAAGTTATCATTTTCTTAAACTGAAAATGTATTTCCAAACATACTTACCTCCACTGACACTCTTCTTCCTTTCCTTCCCACGAAGAGCTGGTGTTAGTGACTGGAATGAGGTAAGTTGCGAAAAAGTGATTTTATTGTCTACATACAATGCTTATATACAGTACCTG